AAGTTGAGGTGGCACCGTGGGACCTATCCCACTTAAGTGGATGTAATAATTCTCACATGTTGTTGAGGATTTATTATTGAAGGATAATTATAAAGAAAAGAAATGAAGTCACCCTTGGTGAAAAATGAGTTAAAATGACAGTTAAGGAGTAAAAATTCAGGTAAATAAAGTTACCTGAAAAGTGAAGTAAAGTTGGAAACATGACTAGAAAAATATTTTAGTCCATTGGGTAAAGTTTTATAATGAATGGAGGTGTGTTAATAGATGAACATTTACCCAGTTGAATTTCACTTGACCTATATAAGTGAAATTTCTAAAGAAAGTTACTATGCTCATTCATATTCTTCGTTTTCTCTGTGCGTCTCTGCGGCGACCAAAGCGATGAATAGTAACCAAATCTTCCAAGGATCATAACTCGAGCTAGAGTTATCGAAATTCAACGGTTCCAAAACCAAAGTTGAAGTGGGCAATCAGAGGAACAGATCTACGGTAAGAAAACTCTGTTTTGATTGATGGTTTGTGGTAGATCTGAATTGGTAGTTTTGGATGAATAGTAATCGCATGAATAGTGAATAGTAACTTTGTATATATACTGAATTTTTATATACTCCTTTGGAAGAAAGGTAGAGAATTGGATTTAATCGGTGAAAGTATGATAAAATTGAAGATAGTGTATTTTTGAATAGTGACGTATGTGAATAGTACCATATACGTGAATAGTGAATAGTACCGTATACGTGAATAGTGAATAGTACCGTATATATGAATAGTATTGTAGAGATGAACAATACTGTATGTATGTGTTAATTGTTGGATAATGATTGTGTCCACGTGGTGATAGGATTGAGCCTTGTGGACCAGCAATGAAGGACCAAGCATTGGATAGGAAGCGTTACAAGTAAGCTCTATGTTTATGGCATTCGCTCCTACTTTGTGTTCCACCATAGTGTTCGGACTGTGGTCGGGTTGTATGATATGTATGAGATATGTGGTATAGATGCATTCATATAGAGTTGTATGATGATGTGATGTTTATGTATGAGAATGTGTTAATCTGTTATGATATTTGTTACGTGCGTTGATTTTCACTTGGAGAAAGGTCCTTGGGGAATGATTACGTACTTCAGAGATGTTATATGTGATATAATATATATGATGTTTTGTATATTATGTATCTGACTGTCATGCAGGAAGTGAACTCATGGGTGGAGATTACTCCATAAACCCAGAGTCTTATTGAGATTAATTTCTCACCCGTCGTGGGCTGCAATTTAAATTACAGGTACATCAGTAATATGAGAGCCTTCAAAGGGCAAGCATCAGTGTAGTTTTAATCGAGAACTCAACATGAGTGGATATGTAACATCCCCGTCTCGAGCCGGTTCAATTAACATACATATGATACAAACAGAAACAACGGAAGACTTAACTTACGAAAATACGAGCTAACTTTTTCTTTTATTTTTCAATAATATTAATTTACATGATATCTCACATTGCATACGTCTCCTAATTAATTCGTATTTGACGAAGATGAAAAACGGGCAGAGTAACCTCTGTAAATTGGACAACTGGGGATTTGCCAATCCCACTCTCAAACGTTCCTGATAAACAGTTTATACATATATGATTTCAGAAATACCAGATATCTATATATGACTATATACTCATCCATGGTTACATGCATAACTGGCTCCGTGCCACTATGTCTAACAACATACATATTTCAGCACATGCATATATCTGAATACACAAATGTACATGCATAAAATATGAACACATGTACAAAACATATACGGACCATATATTGTATAATGGATCAAACATCATGATCCCAAAATAAATAGAACACTATACAACAGTACATATTCTCCAAAAATAACATCTATAATAAATAGTAGCGTCCAGCCACCCAGAACTCCATATCCTCATACTAGTACCTCTAGCTACGGGTAGTGTCTTTGTTCCGTGAGGGCTCTTCATTAACTGTGTTCCTGAAATCATATCCCCAAACGGGGTTAGAGACGAATCTCTAGTAAGCTCCAGGTTTATGGAAAACTCTCCATACCCTGGGCTCACTTCCTGCATGACAGCCAGATACATAATATAACAAACATCATTTAAGAAATTATCATAACTGAACAAAGCATATATACATCTCTTATCAAAGACGTACGCAGTCATTCCCAAAGGATGACCCCAAGCGGAAATCAACGCACATAACAAATATTATTTACAAAAATCATCACAATACTCACATCAGAACAAAACGTGTTATATCAGAGACGTACACAATCATTCCCAATGGATGACCCCAAGCGAAAATCAACGTACGTAACAAATATCATTTACAAATCATCATTCATATCACATAAAAAACATGTCATATAATCAAATATCATAACTAAACAAAACATATACACATATCTTATCAGAGACGTACGCAGTCATTCCCAAGGGATGACGCCAAGCGGAAATCAACGTACGTGTTCTCAAGGGAGTACCCCAAGCAAAACCAAAAACATATAAGATATGTACACAGTTAGTCCCGATGGATGACCCCAAGCAGACATCAGTGCACATAGGATCAATGGCCGGAGATCATCACATAACAGAGGGGTGCACAGTCAATCCCAAGGAAGGACCCCAAGCGGGATCAGTGCACATGTTCCCAAGGGAGGACCCCAAGCGGAACTCAACATATAAAATATATATACACAGTCAATCCCAAGGGAGGACCCCAAGCAGACATCAGTGCATAAACAAATCAATAGCTATAGATCATTACAAAAATCACATCAAAACATATTAAAGTAAACACATCAAATCATATCAAAGTAAACACATCAAAACATATCATATCACATCATCATATAGCTCTATATGAATGCATCTATATCATATATATCATACATATCATACAACCTGACCACAGTCCGTACATTATGGCGGAACACAAAGTAGGAGCGAACCCCATAAACATAGAGCTTACCTTTTGAAGCTTTACACTTTGTTCACTCGTAACACAAGTTACCTATTTAGCTCCAAAGGAATCCAAAGACGCTCAGTCCCTAGGCACACCTAGAGAAAGAATCCAAAACAAAACTCAATAAAATGCTAAAATGCCATGTAATCACAAGACATACACTTTATTGTTTACCTTCATTTCTTTACATTTATGCCAATTCTATGCCAATACACAAGTAAAGACCATACTTTCATAAACTTCTTTATTAGACCATTTTAATGATGATTACTCACATAACAAGCAACCACCTTGGTTCATATTTACCTAGGGCCCTTGAAGGACCCAACCAAGCTTCCGAAATATCTGTTACAATTTTTAACAATTCCTAGTTCCAAAATCAAACAATGGCCGAAGCCAATAACAAAGGAAACTAGGGATTTTCATCAATTCTTTTTATGCAACCATTGGTTCCTAGAACCCATACTTGACCCCAAGTTACTCATATATTCATATAACCATTTATGTCTAAACTTTGCTTATTTTTCCTTCACAAGCCGATGTAACACATACAAAGGAGTCAAGATGTCTCTCATTATTTCTTGAACCATTTCACTTCAAAATCATACTAAAGCCATGCATTAGAACCTAAACATACCACCAAAATAATTTTTAACAATATCAACCCCCACATAACCCTATAGGCCGAATTCAAAGTGGAGGGTTTTTCAAAGGATTATTTTTTATACTTTCCAATTAATCACTAAGTTCACACTTCCAAATACATATAATCCTCCACAAACTAAGCAATTAAATTTTTTGCACACTAACCCTTAAATGCCCAATATGGCCGAACCCTATATGGTGGCCCAAGGGAATTTCTTTCAATTTTTTCTACACCCATTTTTACCACAAAAATATCACTGACTGTACTTTTTACCTCAAAAGTAACCCTAATTTATTTAATTAGGTCTTTTACTTAATTTAACCCATTTATGCATGATTAAATATTTAATCATATACTCTTTTCTAATTAAATGGATTAGGGATATTATAGGATACTTAGTTATTGAAATTCTATGCAGGTATGAGACTGTATAGATAATATAAAAGTATAAATTAAGAATGGTAATTACATAGATAGTAAAAGTTAAGTCTTCCGCTTCGGGATTTAATTATTCGCGCTTAAAGACATCATCTTAAATAAGTTAACAATCTGATTATCAAAATTGGGGCGTTACATGAAAAGTATAAATGAAACAACAAAATACATAAATAAGAGATACATATTAAAAATATTCAATATTGAGGTAAATCCAACAAAAATCGAATAAAAAAAAAATAATTACATTTTTGCTTATAACAGTAAAAAAATTAATAATTAAATTACCTAAAAATTTATTTCTTTTGTTTTAAAATTCGGTTCACATAAAAAATTATCTTAATAAAATGGTAAAGAAATATATAATTGGAAAACCCCATCCTCTATTGGGTATTCGTCCTAAAGTATTAATTAATTCCTAACTTGCATATTAACATTTGTCTTGTATTTATTTATTTATGTATTTTACATTTTTTAAAATAATGAAATAAGAAATATATATTTTAACATATTTTATTTCTGCTTTTATTGATTAATATAAAAAAGTAATGTACAAATAATAAATTTTAATTATTAAAAAGAGAGAGCAATATTTGTCGTTTTATATCTGTAACTGATCATGGAAAAGCAACGGACGGAAAAGAAAAAACAGAGAGAGAGAGAGAGAGAGCAATATTGTCATTTTTTTCTTATTTTATTCTGAAAAACAGTTTTCATAAACTATTTTACAAAACTGTATTAAAAACAAAAAAATCAAAAAACTATCAATCGTACCCAGAATCTCAAAAACATGTAATCCATTCCCTGATGTATCACTAATCACCTCACCTATATTAATATACCTACGTTACGTGGACAGACAGACAGACAATAGCGTGTCTTTGTCACTAAAGACACTGTGCTTTGAATTGAAATTGTTGATCAGATCAGAGATCAGATTAATTTATTTAATAAAAGAAATAATTGGGCATCGACTCTACAAGACCAGATTTGAAGTTGGTCTCCTTCTTGCAAACGGTTTTGAGAGACGACGCTTTTCCATTCTTTGTTGAGAGAGTAAATGCTTGTACTTGTCATCTCCCACCTCTTGAGTATCAAAGTATGTTCCCTGAAAGATGGATCCAACACCTTCACTTCCACACCCCGAAGAAGCCTTCCTTCCCTCTCATGCAAGGTTGCCTTCTCAGCCTCAGTCAAGAAATCACAACATATTTCTGACTGAGGCATCGATAGACGGTTGTGCTTGGCGCTCACATCTGTCTTGGAGAGATTCTTGCTCATCACAAATTGCATCTCGCTGCCGCCGCCGTTCAGCTCTCTCATATGGTTCTTGAATTCCTCAGGTAGAACCGGTGGGGTTGGTGAGGACTGTGGCGGTGATGGTGTTGGCGGTGATGAAGACGACGATGCATTGTTCTTTGTTGTCTTTCTTGATTTTTTATTATTCAGCGACGAGGGAGTGGGGCGCCATTCCTCATCGTCATCAAGCATTTCACGCCTTCTTTTCTTTTCTTTCTCTTTCTCTTTTTCTTTCTCTTTCTCTTTTTCTGGCGGCTTTGTCTTTGACGCCTCTCCTTGTTGCTGTTGTTGCTGTTGCAACTCTTCATCCTCTTCTTGGAAACAATTCTTAATCAGAGCCAATTCTTCATCGTTATAAAACTGTGGTGCAACGCGCGAAAGAAGTATATCACAAAAGTGAGGCCTAAAGGGTTTGGAAGACATCTTTTGACGCGTCTCCCAATCTGTAATCTTCCCCACCAATTCCCACATAGTTTTGTTGTCCCTCTCAGTCATGGTGGCAAAGCACAAGTTGAAGGTTTCTGTTTCGGCGGTGGGTTTGGAAGAGAGCAAGCAAAAGATGGTTGGTTTAAGGTTTATGTAACACGGTCAAGTGAGTGAGTGAGTGATGGGCTTCTGATCAATTTATAGTGATCATCAGAATTAAAATCTTCCGAGATTGGAGGTAATCTTTTCTTTTTTTTTTGTTAAATAAGGAGGTAATCTTTTAATATATGTGTAAATCGGTTTATTTCTTTTAATTATTTTTTTTGTATCTTTAAAGATTTAATATCGGTGAAGATAATTAACTTTCAGCTATTTAAAGATTTAATATCGATAAAGATAATTATCTTTCAAATAAATAGCTGTCCAAATAAGTGATTAACATTTTCATATCTTTTCTGATTTGATATCAGTAAAGACAATTTCCTTAATAATTTTCAAAAAACATTGTTTTTCATTATATTTTGAGACTTAAGAAATAAAGATTGGCTTTCACCCCTTTTGATTTTTAACACAGCTTCTATAGCCATCACCAGGGGAGATATGTTTTCTCACTCCCATAATTTGTTATTCGTAGATACTGAAGTTGGTCTCATGGTTTGTCTTTTATGATCTAATTTTGTTGCACTCGTTGATATTCAGATCTTTTATTACTTGGGTGAACTTAATGACTCATTATCTTATGCCCTTGGAGCTGGTCCTTTGTTTGCTGTTTCCCAGGATTCTGACTGGTGAAATTGGTTCAGTTGTTACTTGTTATTGGTTTGATTTATTTCATTTTAATAAACTTAAAAATAATGTTGTTGATATAAATCAATTTCAAGCTACAGTTAAAACATAATAATTTCTAATGGACATTTTGTTTATTTTCTTCTATCTTCAGCTAAAGCCATAGATGAATACACTAGTCTTAAGTCTAAGGCAGCAGAGTCAAGTGGTGAATCTATCAATGTGGACTAAAGGTTGGAAGCAATTGTCGAGAGATCAATGTTGGATAAGTATGTAAGCCACAATCATTCTTATGGTTTAGGTATCCGAATGTACCTTAACTCTTGGAGTTCCCTAATTTTTTATTGCTTTTCTGAAATTTAGGTGTAAGCAGCAATTGTCGAGAGAATGTCGGGTAAGTATGTAAGCCATAGTCTTTTACGAATGTTGGATAATTTTGTTCAATTGTTCTTGTTTAGTCTGGAGGATTCAAATTTTTTGTTTTGAACGTGTCTTACTTATATCAAAAGACAAAAAGAACGAACCAGTGATCCCAGTTGTTTCATAAAAGAAGTTTTCTTCTTGATTTGGTGCTTAATGTTCTTCCTGGATAAAACAGTGCTGCTCTGTTTCAATGACTAACATTTTTTTAACGTTATTAAAAATTAAATTTAAAAAATATACGCAAGAAAAATTAATCCTGTTTATTTTTCTCACAAGCACATTTATGTTATTCAAATTTAATTTAATTTTAAACAATAGAATGTGATTTCATTTTAAAATTACCATTTTTAAAAGTAGTAATGGTCCTATCCTCCATTTTTTTTTATGTTTCATGTATCAAATGTGAGGCAAAAATATTAAGTTAATGTTTTTTAATAAATTAATTACGCATTTATTACAGTTTTGTAAATAATTACACATTTATTGCATTGGGTGTCACTCAAGAGACAATCACGCCTAATTTAGGCGTCACTTATTAGGTGTAGACACGTGTCATATTTTTTTTTCCAAAAAAATAATAATTTAATCATAAAACTTCTAAAGGCCATGACTTTTGACTCGGGTATCGAAATTAGGTAATTCTTTTTTGATTCCACATAACTTTTCGAGATCTACGCAATGACATCTCATTTGACATATTATATTTCTCACAAACAATTTAAATTTACAAGAATGGTATTATAAGAGCGGTTAAACTCAGAAGCCTATGAGTTCTGGGTTTGTGATTTAATATAAAAAATAAATAAAATTTTGATTTGTGATTTAAATTTTTTTTATAGTAATTTTTTTATTATAATAAAAATTTGGTTTGTGATTTAAATTAAAAATAAAAATAAAAATTATTATTAATAAGGAAAACAAATAAAGATTTGATTTGTGATTTAAACTAAAACATCAATTTGAAAAATCCGTAGAAATAAAGGAAATAATCAAATAAATATTCTAAATCTCTAAGGAAGAAAGATATTATTTTTGAAATTAATGATTAATGCTATAAGCTTCTGAGTTATTATTCGTGATCTGAAATTAATGATGGCTTATAAATATTTTTCAAAAATAAAATTACCTAAATTAAGAGTGATTAAAGGTGGCAAAGTGGGCGGTCCGCCCCGCCCCGCCATAAAATGAGTCAGCCCGCCACGCCCCGCTTTTGAATCTGGCCTCAAAAACTCAGCCCGCCCCGCCCCGTTTGGCGGGTTGGGCGAGTTGGCCCGCCAGCCTAAGCTTATTTTACACTGACCCGCCTCGGCTCGTCTATGCTCGCAATCAACCCGCCAAAAAATGAGTCCGCCCTGCTTTTGAGATGGGTTGAAAAACTCTGCCCGCCCCGCCCCGCCCCATTTAGCGAGTTGGCCCGCCGAGCCGAGCCCGTTTTGCCGACTCTAGGCGTGATTGTCTCTTGATTGAAACCCTATTTAGACGTGATTGGTGACGTGTCAAGTGTTGACACATGTCATATTTTTAAACTCAGAAGCCTCTGGGTTTGTTATTTAATATAAAAAATAAATCAAGATTTGATGACTGATTTAAATTAAAAAAATAATTTTTTTATTTTTATTATAAAACAAATTTGGTTTGTAATTTAAATTAAAAATAACAATTAGTATTAATAAGGAAAAAAAAATAAAGATTTGATTTGTTATTTAAAATCAAAAATCAATTTGAAAAATCTATATTATTAAAGGAAATAATTAAATAAATATTCTAATCTCTAAGGAAGAATGATTTTATTTTTGAAAAACATTCATAAGCCATCATTTATTTCAGATTACGAATCAAATCAAAAATCAAATCTTTATTTATTTATTTTAATTTAAATCGCAAATCAAATCTTTATTTATATTTTATATTAAATCACAAACCCAGAACTCATAAGCTTTTGGATTTAACCGCTCTTATAATATCATTCTTGCAAATTTAAATTATGTTTGTGAGAAATAAAATATCAAATACGATGTCATTGCGTAGATCTCGAAAAGTTATGTGGAATCAAAAAAAGAATTACCTGATTTGGATACCCTAGTCAAAAGTTATGGCCTTCAGAAGTTTTATGATTAAATTATTATTATTTTTTTGGAAAAAAAAAGTATGACACGTGTCAATACTTGAATAGTGACACCTAAATTAGGCGGATTGCATCTTGAATGACGCCCAATTTAGGCGTTATTGGTAGTGCCCAAATTGGGCGTCATATTATGCATTAAATGTGTAATTATTTTTAAAACTGTAATAAATGCGTAATTAATTTATTAAAAAGCATTAAATTAATTTTTTTGCCTCAAATGTGATGCAAGTTATCAATATATGATTTTTTATAAATAATTTAAGAGATTGAGAAATTGTTTAAAGCAAAAGATTAATATTTAATTTTCAAATATTATATTCAAGCTTAGCATTAATAAATAAAAAAATGTTTTGTGTGAAATAACGTATGCTTCAATTCAAGGTTTGGATAATCTCACTAAGTTGAAAATTAAATAACAAAATGTTCTACATGTAAATTTTATAGGTTTAAGAAATAATTTGTATGGATTCTTTTGAAAATTAAATATTAATCTTTAAACAATTTCTCGATAACTTGCTAATTTAGGTTAATTTAATGCTCACTTATTTCATCATTTAATGCATAATATGACACACTACCAATAACGTGGGCGTCATTCACTTAATTTTTGCACTCCACGTGTCATACTTTTTTTTTCCAAAAATAATAATTTAATCATAAAAACTTCTGAAGGCCATAACTTTTGACTCGGGTATCCAAATCAGGTAATTCTTTTTTTGATTCCACATAACTTTTCGAGATCTACGCAATGACATCGTATTTGATATTTTATTTCTCACAAACATAATTTAAATTTGCAAGAATGATGTTATAAGAGCGGTTAAATCCAAAAGCTTATGAGTTCTGGGTTTGTGATTTAATATAAAAAATAAATAAAGATTTGATTTGCGATTTAAATTAAAATAAATAAATAAAGATTTGATTTTTGATTTGATTCGTAATCTGAAATAAATGATGGCTTATGAATGTTTTTCAAAAATAAAATCATTCTTCCTTAGAGATTAGAATATTTATTTAATTATTTCCTTTAATAATATAGATTTTTCAAATTGATTTTTGAGTTTAAATAACAAATCAAATCTTTATTTTTTTTTCCTTATTAATACTAATTGTTATTTTTAATTTAAATTACAAACCAAATTTGTTTTATAATAAAAATAAAAAGATTATTTTTTTAATTTAAATCAGTCATCAAATCTTGATTTATTTTTTATATTAAATAACAAACCCAGAGGCTTCTGAGTTTAAAAATATGACATGTGTCAACACTTGACACGTCACCAATCACGTCTAAATAGGGTTTCAATCAAGAGACAATCACGCCTAGAGTCGGCAAAACGGGCTCGGCTCGGCGGGCCAACTCGCTAAATGGGGCGGGGCGGGGCGGGCAGAGTTTTTCAACCCATCTCAAAAGCAGGGCGGACTCATTTTT